AAATAGGAGCTGCAGCAGTTGTTTCAGCATTTGCTTGGGCCATTCTTTCAGTACTTGGTGCAACAGAAGTACTTTGAGACCTTGGTGCAGTGAAGTCCTTTGTGGTGAAGGGTTACTTGGGGTAGTGGATTTCCTTGGTGCAGAAGTGGTTTGACCTCTAGTTGCAGAACTGGTTTGGGCTCTTGGTGCAGAAGTGGTTTGGCCTCTTGGTGCAGAAGTGGTTTGGCCTCTTGGTGCAGAAGTGGTTTGGGCTGTTGGTGCAGAAGTGGTCTGGACATTTGGTTCACCACTGGAATTCCCCTATGACACATGGAAAAATTGATCAAAAATCTATAATAATTATACAAAATGTACAAGAAATTATGTACATAAAAAAAAAAAGCTTACCTTGTAAAATTTAGAGGCTGGATTTGTTGGATTCTTACATGATTCCCGGTTATGTCCTTGCTGAAGGCAATTCTTGCATGTATGTGTAAGGCCTCTTCTTGTTGAAGTCCTATGAATCTCATCAGGGGCCTTCCTTCTCAACCTCTTAGGTCTCCCAGCCTTTTTCTTGTACATTGGGGGTAGAAGTGGCTCATGTGAAGTGATTATGTAGTCTCTTGGTCCAGGAACTGCATGTACCATGTGACTATAAGCCTTCAAATACATGCTTTTTGAATAACAGTGGTCCACATAGTCTTCTACTTTCAATCTTCTGTCCAATATACAAGTCCATGCATGGGGGCATGGGTATCCATTGAGCTGAAACATACCACAAGTGCAGGTCCTCTTGTCAAGATGAACCACATATCTATCAGTATATGCTTCAACCTCAAATTCATCTCCCCCACACCATCTTGGGAAACAGTTTCTTGCATATTTCTCATACTTGTTGATCTTTTTAAGTATGTTTGGACAGATTTGGCCCTCATACTTCTCCATGCCCTCCCTTTTTACCTGAATTCTGGTTGTTAGTCTTGCTCTGATCCACTCAAACATACTAACAATTGGCTTCTCTCTTGCTTGAAGAATGAAGTTGTTGAAAGACTCACACAGATTATTCACAACTACATCAGAGTTGCATCCTCTTCTGAAATAAGCTCTACACCAATGGTAAGGCTCTATCTCCCTCAACCATTTGGCTGCCCCTGCATCAATCCTCTCAATTGCCCTCAAATGTTGTTGAAATTCATTAGTATTTCCTGTTGAAGCAGCCCTCCACAACAACTGTTTTAACTCTAATGAAGTCCATTTTTGTTTAAAATTTTGGTATATGTGCCTAACACAGAATCTGTGAGGACACCTGGGGGCAATCTCCTTAATGGTCTCCAACAGCCCTTTCTGTCTATCAGAAATAAATGTCCACTTCCCATCCTCAGCACCACCAATGACATCCAACAATTCAGACAGAAACCATGTCCACATCTCCCTGTTTTCAATAGGAACCACAGCAAGAGCAATTGGGAATAAGTTGTCATTCCCATCCCTACCAACTGCACATAACAGTTGCCCCCCATGTGGTGTTTTGAGAAAACAGCCATCTAGACCAATCAATGGTCTACAACCTTCTAAAAATCCCATCCTCATGCCTTTAAGACTGAAAAACATTCTTTCAAACACTGGGGGGTCAGAGAGATACAACTTCCTAAGCAATACCTTTGTTCCAGGATTAGTGCTTCTGAGGGTCTCACAGTAATCCCATAATTGGGTGTATTCTTTCTCATCTTGGCCTCTTATCTTGGTCATTGCTACTCTTTTTGCCCTTAATGCTTTCCAGTAACTAGATTCAACCCCAACCTTCCTCAGTATACTGTTTTGAAACTTTTGAATACCAATATCTGCATTGTCTTTAATGCCTTGTTCCATCCTCATTCCAAGATACTTGGCAGTGGCATGTTTGTTCTCCCTTTTTCTTGAACATGTGTGCTCACCTGTTAGGGTCTTAACCTGCAAACATAACATATAAATTCATTAATATCATTGGGATCAAAAGAAAACAATGAAGAAACATAAACCAAAAGAAAACACAATACCTGAAACATTTGACTTCCTTGAACAACAGAGGCATGGATCCTCCATTTGCAAGCCTCTTCCTTGCATGTTGCAGTCACTCTTGTCCTTTCATTCTTTAAGGAGCAGTTCATATCCATTTCTACAACCCCAATCTATAAGTGCTTTCCTATAAATGTCTACATTTGGAAACTTCATACCAACTTCAAGATTTCTGTTTTTCATTGTTTCCCCTTCACTGAAACTAGGAACTCTTCTCCTCTCACTGTCTAAGAAATTCAGATTTTCAATATCATCTTCATCATCAACATCACTATACCAATCAGTGGTCTGTTGAGATGGATTGACTCTGCATTTTTTATACCTCTGGACTGACCTCTTTTCCTTGTTCAGCATTTGCCTCAGTTTTCTAGCTAGATCTTTCTTACTTGAATTTCTGTCCAAAAAGATATCATCTTCAGAGGAGCCTTCAATGTCAGCAAACTCTTCACTTGGGGCATCAGAGGGTATATCATCATCACCATCGTCAGTGTCAGATTGAACATAATCTTCATCTGAAGAATCATCTTCAAATATTGGTGCATCTTCTTTATTAACTGGCTCATCTTCATTCAGTGATGCCTCCTCTTCATTCAGTGTTGCCTCCTCTTCATTCATTGGTGCCTCCTCCTGATTCAGTGGCTCTTGATTCAGTGCTGCCTCATCTTCATTCATTGGTGCCTCCTCTTGATTCAATGGCTCTTGATTCAGTGCTGCCTCATCTTCAGTAATTGGTGTCTCATTTTCCTCCTCTTGATTCAGTGGTGCCTCATCTTCATTCATTTGTGTCCCATATTCATCCATTGGTGCATCATCTTCAATGTTTACAGTCTCTACTTTGTGTCCCATATTCATCCATTGGTGCATCATCTTCAATGTTTACAGTCTCTACTGTCTCTCTTGTATTCCCTTCACTGTACTTAAGCAGGAGAGTTTCCCCTTTATCCACAATCACATTTCCATTCACATCAATTGCAATTAAAGGTTCTCTGTCATTCTCTTCTGTGTACAATGTTAGGTGGTCTAAGTCTTCATGTGCTGACACTAGGAATTGGATACTAATATCATCTTCAATCATCCTCAATCCCTCATGAAGTGATAGCCCAGGATAAACAAAGTAGAACTGAATATTAGTTTTTTCCCCCCCACTCATACGATATATCTGGAATAGGTTATCTAGGTTCATGTAGTCTAAGCAAATTCGATCCACTACTTCCATTTTGCCACCTACATAAGCCAGTTTGGGTGTATGGACAAATTTACCATTCAACCAAATAGTAACTGTACACAACTTGTTCATTCTGCATAAAAAATGGTAAAAACAGTCAAACACAATTGTTCAATTAATTATTATTATTACTTTGCAAGTTCACCAACAAAGTAACAAAGTGCCCTACTTCTGCATACCCCACACCATTTTTTTTTAAATTTTCAATTCAAACAACAAGACAACAAAAAATGGTAATAAAAAACTGATACCAAAAAATAATTAAAAAAACCCTACAAAGCAAAAAATCTTGTTGTTACAGACAAGCAAGCAAAAACACAGATCCCCACACACTAAAATATTAAATGTAGCATTTCTCAAAAAGTTCCCAACTCGCGAATATAATATACAAAACCTTACAAATACAAAAGCCTACATACTTTAACATTCCCACAACTCTAGTTATCGAGAAAAAAGATAGGGTTTTTTCAAATAACACAAACAAGACAGTATACTACAAACCTTAATTCTTGACTCCGTATCTCATTTTTTTTTTTTTTTTTTTTTGTT